CTTTCCTCTAGTAATCTCAAGTCCTAGAAAATATTTTGCAGCTCCAATATCTTTGATGGTAAATTGAGAATGCAGATATTCCTTGACTGATATAATGTCAGATTCATGAATTCCAGTGACTAAGACATCATCCACATAAATAAGGAGAAATAAATTGTGATTGGATGAATGCTTAAGAAATAAACAATGGTCGTGGTTGGATTGAACAAACCCATACTCAAAGAGCTTAAGACTGAGCTCAGTATTCCATTGTCTCGAGACTTGCTTTAATCCATATAAACTTCTTCTAAGTCTACAAACATTGTTTGCTGTTGCTGTGATGTATCCCGGAGGCGGCTGCATATAAACCTCTTCATCAAGGTATCTATGTAAGAAAGCATTGTTGATATCAAGTTGATGGAGAGGCCAAGACCTGGCTGAGGCTATTGCAATAAAAATTCTGACTGTGACAAGCTTTGCAACAGGTGAGAAACAATCAAAAAAATCAATTCCTTCTAATTGATTGTAGCCTTTTGCCACCAATCTTGCCTTAAGCCTATCTACACTTCCATCCGATTTTAGTTTAACTTTGTATAACCATTTACATCCAATAGCTTTCTTCCCTTGAGGTAAATCAGTGAGTTCCCACGTTTTATTTGATTCTAGTGCTCCCAACTCCTCATTCATAGCACGTATCCAACTTTCATCTTACAGGCTTGATGATAAGAACTTGGTTCTTGAATTTTTGATACATTAGCCAGATATGTCACATATGTATGGTTTAATGCAGGTGAAGTTGTGTAAGGATATGTAGGTGGTGTGAATTTTGACATAATCTTTGTTTGGTTGAAAGAGGATTGATGATAAGCAGTTGGAACATTTGAATTTTCAGTTACATTGGTAACATAATCTTCCATCCATATTGGTCTGGCCTTCTGCCTGGTACTTTTTCTAAGGGTCTGAGGTTCAGAAGTTATATTTTCTGGAGATTCAGGAAAGGGAACTTGGTGGAGTGGAATATCGTTACGATAAGTGGAGGAAGAGTCAGCAGTGGTTTCATCAGATGATGTGTCTGTGGATGTGTTTTGTAATGACTCATCATTTTGATTATCACAAGGGGAAGCAGAGGGTGTTATAGTCAGATCATCATCATGAAATCAAGGTATGGAACAACTGGATGTGATTTATCAGTGATAGAATTTTTGTCTGATTTGAAGGGAAAATAATTTTCATAAAATGTAATGTCTCTTGAAATTTGAACTTGTTTAGTGGATAAATTGTATACTTTGTAGGCCTTTTGTCCTGGGTTGTAGCCTATGAACACACATTTATAACCTCTTCGTTCAAATTTGTCTTTGTGAGGTTTGGTATTGGTTATGTAACAAAGGCATCCAAAGGTTTTCAGGGAAGAAAAATCTGGTTTAGTCTTGTATAGGATCTCAAAAGGAGTCTTCCAATTTAGAACTGAATTGGGAATTATGTTTATAATGTGTGTGGCCATTAGTATAGAGTGAAACCAGAAGTATCGAGGTAAATGAGCTTGAAACATGAGGGATCTGGCCATTTGGAGTAAATGTCTGTGTTTTCTTTCTACAACTCCATTTTGTTGTAGAGTGTAGACACATGATTTTTGGTAAAGAATTCCTAAAGTTTGGAGCAAGGTCTGACATTCATTTCCAGTAAATTCACTTCCATTGTCCTTTCTAATAGTCTTAACATCCTTTTTGAACTGATTTTTAATCATTTTGAAGAAGACTTCTAAGGTCTTAACAGTCTGGGATTTGTGCACAAGCATGAAGGTCCATGTGCCTCTACTGTAGTCATCTACAATGGTGAGCATAAAAGGTGTTCCAGTCAGGTTGTGTTGTCTATAGGGACCCCATATGTCAATGTGCAACAACTCAAAGGTGGTTTTTGAATGAATTTGTGAGTTTTGAAACGGAAGTCTGTTTTGTTTTGCTTTGTGACAAACATCACATGGTTCAACATTCTTAATGGCAGAATTATTGCAAAGTTGTTTAAGGAAGCTGAGATGTTGTAAGCATTGAAATGAAGCATGACCAAGTTTGATATGCCAATCAACAAGAGAAAAGGGAGAAGCCTTATCATTAAAAGGAATTTTATTTCCAGAATTCGAATTCTCAATAGATAGAAGATTACAGATGTTCATTCTCCTACAACAATTTTCAACTCCATTATTCTGGAAACTATGGTCATCAAGTGTGTATAACTTTCCATTCAATTTTCCAACTGCCATCGTCCTATCACTCTTCAGGTCCTGCATCAGGTAATATGTAGGATGGAAGATAAATTTAATCTGTGCAGTCTGACAGAGTTTAGGGACTGATAGTAAATTAAGTTTAAAAGTAGGTACATGAAGAACATCAGTTAAAGTGATTTTGTGGTTCATGGCAACGGTTCCAATGTGTTTGACAGCTTGACAGAACCATCAGGTAGCAAAACGGAGGTAGGCTGTGTGACTGGTTTTAAGTTGGTCATTTGTGATGAATTTGTGCATATGTGATTGCTGGCACCAGTGTCAATAATCTAAGTACCATATTTCAGTTCATCAAGTGAAGTAAAAACAAAGTGTTGAGTGTACGTACCAGAATAATCCCTGATATGTGCAAAATTCACTTGATCTTCATTATCATTAAGCTTCTTTCCTTTCAGTATTTTCATCAGTTCTTGCTGAACAATGGCAGCAATATCGGAAGAGGATGATGTTTCCTTTGTAGTCACAGCAGCAAAATCATTATCAAAATCAAGTGGTGAATTATCTATTTTCATCACATTATTTGAAGCATTTCTCCAGCTAGGATCCTTTGGTTTTTGATCTTTTTTGTACCAATCCGGAAAGCCAATAATTCTGAAACATCCTTCCTTTGAATGTCCACTCATACCGTAGTGGTCACAGTACATCAGCTCCTTATCAAAATTGCCATATCTTCTGTTAATTCCCTTTCCTACAGCATGGTTTCCTCTACCAAAAGCAGATCTACCTGTCCAATTTCTTCTCCCAGATCCATTTCTTCCACGTCCATCATTCCTAGTATTAACTCCTCTAATCATCATCGCAGTGTTATCATTGGTTTCAAGATACAACATATGCACTTCTCTTTGTTTTTCCACTCTTAGAACCATAGAATAGGCTCTATTCACTGAGGATAAAGGCTCCATCACAAGAACTTGATTTCTGACATTGTCGTATGTATCATTCAGCCCCATCAAAAATTGCATAAGTTTGTTGAAAGAAGCTGAATCAGAGACTTCCTTCGCAGCTCCACATGTACAGATCGGTGATGGCATAAGACATGCTATTTCATCCCATAATTTTTTAAGATTGGTGAAATATTTCTCCACTGTCATTGATCCTTGTGTCATACTACTGATCTCTCTCTGGAACTGGTAAAGTAATGGCCCATTGCATTCACCATATCTCTCGTTTAATTCATCCCATAAATCCTTAGCTGATGTCGTGAAAATAAATGCCTCCACAATTTCCTTCGAGATTGAATTTAAGATCCAAGATCTAACCATACAGTCTACCCTATTCCATTGATCAAAATTTTGAGATTCACTATCTGGTTTCTCACATTTCCCGTTTATGAAGCTCCACTTCAATTTTGCACCTAATGCTATTTAAATGGACCTGCTCCAACTGAGATAATTTTTACCTGTCAATTGTGAAGTCACAAAGATCATTCATGGATGGTCCGAACTCTGCAAATCCAATGGATCTCCATTGGAATACTCCTTTGCTGCCACTCCTTGTTCAACTGGCGGAGGATTTTGTAGATCATTATTTTGATCGTTGTTGTTTGCCATCCTTTTTCTGATATATTTATCACTTCAAAACTTTATGTGTACGAGACGATATAAGGCTCTGATACCATGATCAAAGCTGGAAGAAGAAGTGAAGTGATATGTGCAGTAAAATGGATCTGCCGAATTTCTCTATTATCTTACACAGCAAAATGTATTATAGACCAGAATATATACAAGACAAAGCACAAGACAAAGCCAATAAAAAGATGACAGCTCACCTAACAAACTAACAGAAAGTAAAGAGAGAAAACACGTGAAAATGAACGTGAAAATGAAAAATAAAAGTCAACAAAACTATATTAAAAATATTCATAATAAAATAAATTAAAAAAAATAAAAAGTCTAACTTGCAACAAATAAGAACTAGATCGGTAAAATAGTAAATAAGTCTCACATGAGGCATAAACCTTAATAAATTGAGGTTTGCGCCCCACAATGGCTCTTAAGGCTGATCCTTTTGAGGCGTTTTATTTAAGCCTCATGTGAGGGCAAAGCTTTAAAAAACTGCTTTTTTTTTTTTTTTTTTTTAAAGGAAAATGGGCAGTGAAGCTTCATGGTTGTTGTCATCCCTATTAGCAGTTTGGTGGAAACAATTTTACAATTGGGCCACCATGAAATTTTCATGGAATCGATAATTTCTTTTTTCATGGTTTTGATTCAGATATTTATTAGTGATTTTCCCACCGCTTCAAAAAATATAATTTACAGGTGGGTATAAACATGGGGAATGTGTGAATTGCATAAATTGGGACGAAGATAGGTTAAGGTTTCGCAGGTATGATATTTTTCTGGTTTATATCATTTAAAACTAATTAACATATAATTAAAGTAAAAATATATAAACTAAATCAAAAAATGGACAATAATCCTAAAAAGGAAATGCAGTAAATGGATGGATTCCCTTGTTTCTCAAGGGCAACATTAACGGCTTGGCAATGAGCTATTAGAAACCAAAAAATAAGTAGCTCACATAGAAAAGGATGTTTTTATACCAACAAATATAAAAATAAAAACAAGATATACAAAACAAAATTGCAAACCGAAACTGGTTAAACGACATTATATGCTCGTCTAGTATTAATGTTAGTCACAATAAGAGAGTCAATATTTCCATTTAACACAACATTTACATCAGGAAATTAGGTATCGGTTTTCGCATCTTCTACCATCTTGGTGGGTCGAAACACATACCTTCATGCCTCGTGACTCCACATATCAACAAGCTCATCTTTCTTTATGTTACTCACACCAGATGTACGTTGATCCCTCAAAATAATGAGAAGTTTAGCCTTCAAGCGGTTAAAGGCCTTAATCTTGTTCGCAACACGGCACATTCACCTGCAAAGAGAACAGTCTTTTTCGTTGGCCTTTCTTTCTCCTGCTCATCTTCTCTTATTGATTGTAGAACATTTTGAAAATGTAAAATAGAAAAATGCACATTTTAAACAAAAACTTGTAAGGTAGAGCAAGGTGCCTTGTACTTCTTTTCATCTCCTTTTGACGTTTTCTGTTTTAGAACAAATATGCAAATGCAATAGCTCATGAGCTCGGGTTGTGTACTATTTTGGTAAGGAAATACATACTCCCGAGGTTCAGTGAACAACAACCATGACAAGGAAGCCTTTTATTTATGACAGCAGCAAAAGCTGCAAGATGATTTCTTGAAAGTAAAAAATATGAAATTTCTAAAGGTACAAATATCATAATTCGTTGACTTACTCATTTTTTTCATTATCCTCGAGGCACTTAATAATTGCCATCACAAGTCAGAAATTTTGGGTATGTTTGTGAAACAATGTGTATATTTGGTAGCGTTGCTGTCTGTGTGGAGTCCAAATGTGTAAATTTATCAAAGAAATTGAGCCAAGTACATGAATCAGAACTATATTACTACAAAAGCAAGAAAAATAACGATATGAACTTAACAGAAACTCTAACTATCCCAAGCCAAATTCTCACCTGTTGATTGGACTTCCATACCAGTTAAAATATGCTGAATGGAAACTGATGAAGAAATCTCGCCCAACTTCTTGGAAGATGATGGGCAGGAGACTAGTAGATCCTTCTCATCAATTAATAGTCTGAGTGATGATTCAAGGAACAAAGGAATCACATCCATAGCCGCAAAGCTAGCTTACAGGATATTAGCAATAGTGATGCAACAATAGTATATAATATGGGCCTTCATATCAGGAGTTTAAGGGTCAATTAAAATTAGATATTAGATGTAAAAATGAAATTTCTTTCTCAAAAATCCAAATTATGCTATAAACAAGGAATTGAAACTCTAGTACAAAAAATATGAAGAATTAGGGTTCTATATGTTATATTATCTGAATATAGAATGGGATGTTAAAGGACCACTGCTTATTCAATTGCCAATTCTAAAACTGAACATGATATTTGAAGATGCTGGGTATGGAACTGAGAGCCAAATTCACTAGCCAAAATGACAAACACTGCATGCATGTGTTTGGCTTAGCCTAAAAACTTCACTGAAAAGTAAATAAGTAGGTTATAAAATAAAATTAAAGATTTTTGTTGGGCAAAGTTGGAATAAGTTGCCCCTATTTTGAAAATAATACCCGCCTTACTGCCCAAATAACTTTTTTATAGTTCTAAGTAAGAAAACTGTATCGAATAAGTTTGGAAACAAAACTTTACTTAGAAGTAAACTTGCCAAACATGCATAGATTCTTGAGGTTCTTTTGCCACCATTCTGACACTTTAGGAACACTATTAAGTTCTCAAACCAAGATATGCCTGGCTATAACTTGTGGAAACTCCAGACACAAATCAATATGCAGTATGTCATAGGTTTTTCCTTATTATCAATATCAATGTATTTATATGTTGACAAATCTGGTGAAGAGTGTTCACGTCTAACGTAATCATGTAACTTATTCTTATCTAAGGTATTAGTATACCAAATTTTTCATGAAACTAAAACACCTAATTGATTGTTCCCTACAATATATTTAGCCTGTCCTTACTTTTTTATAACCATTATGTCAAAGCCTATTCCAGGACCCTGTTTTCTATTAGAAATTTGCCCAACATTACATTAAAATAATTTTTATTAACCATGATACTATGTACAGTAGTGTTCTTCCATTGCAACCTGTCAAACGTGATGTGGTAATGGCCAGATTCCCTGTTGCTCACTAAATGATCCCAGGGATTGTAAGTCATTTTTCATGAGCACTACCATTTATCAATTCTGCCAAAAGATATAGTAATGACCTAAAAAAATGGCCAAAAAGGATTCATGTCCTATATTATCGGGAATAAGGCTTGCTTTATTATTGTTTTAAATAACATCTACCAAATAGATAATGCAAAAATTATTAATGAAAGTACGAAAGTGTTCTTTCCTTAGCAATCAATTGACAGTAAAAAGTCAATCACAACTATGAAATTTCTGGGTCCTTTGTAATAGTAACAGAAATTCATACCTCAGGATAATTAAATTCACTCTTATGAGTTCCAATTATTCGGTGAACACCTCTTGCCCCTGATAGATAGCCTTAAGCATATTTGAATTCGAATTCAATTGTTGCTGACTTGATACCTCCATTCTTTGTAGGACATCTCTCAACTAACCTCACTGCATGACCTTGCTTTTCAGCCCATTTCAGGCACACTCAAGTGAGTTGTCCTGCCCATCTCTAAATAAATTTTACATCAAGATCTTAATGGAGAAGACCCTATTCCATTTAACAAATTAAAATACAAACCTACTGCTTATGAGATAAAAGAGCACCTTTTTTCCCAAAATATCAAGTAACTCGTATGCCCTGGTACATTAATGAAGGAAATGGTCCTTGTAAATCTAGAGACGAAAAAGCTGATTCACGTAGCCAGCTATACTAAAAGTCTACTATGGTTTAGAGGTTTGTTTCAAACTTATTCATACAATGAATATAGGAATGATGCAAAAAATAAAAAAATCAAAGTAGAATGAGCACGTCATAGCACATTAAAACAAGTTTATCCAATGAAAAAGCAATGAGGTATGCAGAATTAGTCACCAATTTGACAAAATTGTAACTATAACTTAGCAGAAACACCAAAACAATTGATAAAGACATAAAGCCAAATTCGAAAAGAAGATAAAAGGAACTATGATTAGCAAGAATGAATCATAGACAATCACATTGACCATGTAAGAAAGCTCAAAGAAAGGATTCAACCGAGTCATTCATGTATATAATAGAAACTCTCTAGGAAATGCTCATGGACAGTCCTAATCTTGAAACTTGTGGAACCTTTATTAACTGACTAACAAATCAATAAAAGATTTGGTTTAAAAAAATAGCTTATGGCTACAAAGTAAAACTTTAGAGAGTCAAGATTAAAAGCAGATTATAGAATAATAAATATTTTTTATGAAGTTAAATCATCCCTCACTGATGAGTTATAAATGCCATTTCATTTAAAAGAGCCATTTAAAAGAACAGCATCTCTACAAAAAAGCATAAAGTCTCAAACCACGAACCTCTAAGTAAATGTCTCCACATCTGGATTCAATTTTGGGACATGCTCCCTCCATGTCATATGACTTTTTAAGAAACTTAGACGTCTCATACTTATTCAAAAACTTGTTTAAATCTACAGATGCAAAATATTCCTGCTTGAAAAGCTCGTAATTTACAATACCCAGCTCTGCAAGCTCTTTAATCAGTTTAGCTTCCTCAGCCTACAATAGATGTTTACAGCTTCTCAATAATATTGAGCCCCCTTCATAAGCATCTTATAACCTTAAATAACTTAGTATATTACAAACAAATGAGCAAATTTACACACACACATACACACACTTTCAAGTCTTCTGGTTGACAATTGTCTCCAAATAGACATACAAATACTTGCACGAGAAGCACACTACCTTATATTTGAGGTGTTTAAGGGCATCAACCACCTTGGCACTGTCGGCTAGTTTGATGAGGATTTCATTCGATTTCCCCGGGTCATCCCACAAGTCATGATCATGAATAATTTCTTCTTGCTTGACATGTCTTACTTCTTCGTGGTCCAAGGCTATTGGTGCTAACATCTCTGCACGGAGAATTGAATCTTCTATCCTTGTTCTTAAAGAAAACATGCCTATATAAAACCAAACCATTACAACCAATCCAAGTGGCAAGCACTAGACTATTGTATGCATATATCATACAAATATTAGGGCTGGACATGGTCCGATTCAGTTCCCATTAACAGGACCCGAAATTTTTGGGTATTTAGTAAGTAGAATTGTCGGGTCTAAATTTAATTATGGAACCGTTCGGGTTCGGTTCCATTCGATTTGGTTTGGTTTGGTAAACCAGGTTCCGTATTATAATTAATTTTTTAATATTTACAAAACTACATTAATTCAAGTAATAATATGTTTAATCTTAACTCTTACAAAATAAAGTAGTCCAATTTTATGTATCTTTTGTATCTTTCTTTACTGAGTTCTTTATATATTTGATTGTTAAAATCATAGAAAGAGGAAGATAGCGAGCTCACAAAAATTAAGAGATTCGTTGTCGAGCTTCAATTCGATTTCTTCAGAACGGTAGAAATAACACTATGGTAGAGTAACAGATTTGGATAAAACTTAGATCAATTTGATTAAGTTGGCTTTAAACTGAAAATTAGAAATGGGAAAATCATATTTTTGGGTTTAAGCTAAATTAACTAGTTAGTAAATTTGTTTAGAAAAAATAAAATAATTTTGTTTATCAATTTAAATTAATTTAAAAAATTAGAGAGATTCAATTCTTATTCGATTCTTGATCTAGAACCGAAAACCGAACTAAACCCGTCGATTTTCGATTCAAATACCCGTTCGGATATTTAACTTAAGAAGAACCACTCAGTTCGATTTCGGTTCGGGAGTTTTATCCAGCCCTGATCCTTGAAGATATGCAGATCTGAAAATCTTGCAAGGAATAAGTATATTGTGAAATAATCTTTCCAGAAATAATCTAATGATTAACATGCCTTATGATTCCTTTTTCCTTGTTCCCAGAATTGACAAAGAAGAGTCGATCCTTTTTTCAGCAATCTAAGGTTAAATTTGCCGCTATTTATGATTTATAAACAATTGACACAACTATTGTGTTTGATATGAAGCTACATATTTATATAGGAAACATAAGAGAGCTTCAATAATTCTTCAAAATTTAAACCATAACTTCATTGAGGGGATTATTATTCCTTGATTTACAAGGCCTTTTCTCTTGATAAACATGTAAATGCCACAAATCCAGAATTAACTAGTTTCTAAATAATGTACTACCCCATAAATAAATCGTCTTGAAGATAAATATCCAATAAATTGTTATAAGAAAATTGTTATAAATTAAGTTATAAGAAATTTTTAAAATCAAAAAATTGATCCCCTTTGACTATACAAGAATATGTAGAGTTGAACCATGTCTAGAAGCACGGGAGAACGTATATTATTACCAATATTTGATAATTTAATTTAAGCGCTCAATTAGAATTTATTATATATTCTAAATTTATGTATGACCTAATATACTCCATCTAACGTGGCATTGATGTGACAGTAGATTAAATTGAAAGAACTAATGATTTTAGCAAAGTAAATCGATATCAAATATTTTCAGACTACTATAATTAAGAGAATATTTGGTGGGGATTAAAATTAGATTTTTTTAGTAGATTGAAATAAAAAAATTTGAAATGTGGTTGAAAAGTTGTGAGAACCATGAAAGATGTAATTACTATTGATTGTTTGACTTTAACTTAAATTAAAATCAAATTTTAATAAACATGTCCGACTACTATAGATAAACATCTCCAACAAGTAGTTAGACAAAAACTTGAGAGGGCCCAAATGTCAAGCTAGCACAAAAGTTATTACATTGTCATGCATGAATATTCTTTTAGCGAAAAATTTCTACGTGTCAAGCTTGTCTAAGTATTATTAAATAAATAAAATTTGAATAGCACGTATCACATTGTCCATAAAGTACATTATTAAGGCAAAAGAAAATGCTGCAATTACCTAAGGACATCACCTACCTAAACATTCTCCAAGTCACTACATTCGACACCCCCACACTCATTTTCTCCACCACTACTTAACCTCAAGCCTAACCTCAAGTCCGCCATCTATCCACCAGCGTCGTCGATCAAGCAACACCCCAACAACGACAGTTCCTTCAAAAACCACCTTCAACCCCAAAACAAAGTTTCCCTTCCCTCTACAATCCATCGTGCGAATACACTCTCAAAACCCTTCATAAACACATTCCAAGTCATTCTCAAACTATCCAATGTCTCGAACACCACCGAATTATCACTCTTGACATCAATATCAAACCAGAAAATGCCATTCTTGTCGACCTCAAGTTCGCCAAGGGCTTTATAAGTATAACAATGCATGAGTGCATGTTTTTAGCATCAATAGCAAAGAATATATGTCGTAAAGAAATATGGGGCTGTTGAAAATTGAAATGTGGTACTCGGACAACATTCACAAGCGTATGAGATTGTTGATAAGTATTAGATTTAGTGAGTTAAAAGTATCATTCCACGAGGAATAATTGTAATTATAGTTTACTAGTTATAGTCAAATTCGATTTAATGTAACACAAAAAAGATTTGCTTTTATTATTATTATAATTTAAACTATGAAAGCAATAAAAGATTGATTTTTATCCAAATATGAGATGAATTTATTGGATTTCAGAATTCACCCATCAATGTCTAATTCCAATTCTCAACTTACATAAGTAGTTTGATTAATGTGTTTATGACAATTAATAATCCGTTAGTATCTAATTTTCTTTTCCAAGATATATTAAATCTATATTTAACACAATTCGATCATATTCCTAGTTCGAATTTATATGCAAAGCATGCCTTCAATCACAAGATTATCTCACACAATTGCACATGTCATAAGTATTATTCTTAATATCTATTAGCCATGTGTTAAATACGCAGTGTTTTACTTATTGTGAATCTTCTAACAATACAAATAAGCAATTACTTATCTAAATGATGACCAAACATTCAAACAACACAAGATTCGTGCATATTTAATCAAGAACACAAGAATTAACTAGAAAATAATGAGTCTTGCATTAAAAACTATAAATCAAAGGTTTCATCCATCCAATACATAAAAGATTTAGCCTAATATTGTCATATGAAAATTACACAAAAGAAAGAGAAGCATCACCCGAGACTAAGAAACTTGAGAAGAACGTGAAAGCTTCAATTCCTTGCTTGAAACTCAACCCCAAATGATGCAATTCTGTTCATTGAAAGTAAAAATATTTATTTTCTTACTCTTCTATGTTGAAAACTAGGTTACCTTTGTTCTGGACAGCCTCTTGATATATAGGATGCTAAAAATTCCATTCCAAAATATACCGAAATAAGAAAAGGAATTTTTTTTTATTTTGCCTTGGGACGCACGCCTAGGCTTAGTTAGGGGATGCGCCTCATGAATTTGGTAGCTTCAATTGGTCTTAGAAGAGGAGGAGGAGGCGAGCACCTCATTTGCAGGCTTAGGTGCGTGCCTCAAGCAGTCTTTTAGTACTTTTGTCATAACTTTCTCTCCCATTATCCGATTGAGTCGATTTAAAGTGCAATAGAAAGATAACTTAAAGAGCTACAATCTTATTTAAATATCACTTTCCAATTTGAGCATTTCCTGTGTGAAAATGAGTCTCAATTTAATGCTGAAAATCTAAGGTATAACTTTTTTTCGGTTGGAAATTGATATATGATAATACTTTGACTATATTTCTTTTCTTTGATTTCTTCCTCATAAAATTGGTTCCTAACATTCTCGAATCTTCATTGTGAGGTCCGACACGAATTTGGAGTATTTGTACTTTAGTGCGTGAATTTTGAATATTTTACAATTGAGCTTCTTCTTTTTTTTTTTTAATCACTTTTCTCCAATTCCACAATTTATGTCGATTTTAACAAACACAATAGACAAAGACTTAAGCTATAATTTATCAAAATAAATGATAAATACTCTAACTTAAAGGCCCAAATAAATGTATATAGTACACTTATCATACGGGTTAAGCAAAATGGTCATAATATTTTCCTTTCTTGGTGATCTTATGATCCAAAGACATAGGCAATGACTTGGTCAAGGGAACTCATTGGAGTCATAGCAAAACGAGTCTTTATAGGGCTTAAATGCTTTCATCATTGCTACCAAATATGATACGTTATTCGAAATGATATATTTCAATATTTGTCTCGCCATATTCTGATTGGATCTCTAAATGAAGTCCATGCAAACCCCAAATTTAGCCTACGTTGGGCCACTCATGCCTCCATAGTTTGACTTACTTTTACATCCCTAAACACAAACCTATTGCAACCATTGCAACTAAAATACAAGTAAAAGACAATTCTTCGAGGAAATGCTAACTCAAACATTTCAATCAAACATCAACCTTCGGTTTCTACTGAGACTTCATAAAACGATTTGCAAGCAAGGGATTCAACTAAAACGACTTATTTTTCATTTCTTTCCTCAATACTTGCTCTACATTATCATTTTTACATTTCTCTCTATGGTTTAATCTAAAAGACAATTAGAATATCAACAAGGCTAAGTATAGGAGAGTTAAAACCTTGCTTCATACAAAAAGTTATAAGAAACACGAACTGCTTCACTACAATCTGTACACTACTTTTGATTAATTATGTTATCTTAAAGTTTCTTGTATTAAGTTGGTTTGATAAACTCGTTATAGTTTTATCAATTGATGCAACTCGATTTGTAGCCAATGCAGTAGCTTGATACGTAGGCTCGGAAAAAAGCCTTTTAAGGGTTCAGAATTGTCTTTATAAGTCTAGAAAGATTTGTAGCCGATAGAAAGGAGACACCAAAGAAAGTTCTTTTGTTTTGATATGAATATTGTTCTCCAGCTTGACTTGCAAGCGACTTGAAGGCTTTTTGATGCATTTTTCAAGCTGATCATTTGTACGAGGTGGAGCTAGAAGATAAGATTTGTGGAGGGTGAATTACACAAAATTTTAATTGTAGAGGGGAAAATTAAAAACTACAAGGACCTTTTTGAAAATCATAAAAAAATGTGGACAAAATATTGAATTTTCAAATTTATTGTAGGGGCGGCTGACCCCACTGTAAATCCATCCCTATTTGTACACAACTACAGAACATATGATCATGTCTTTCCATACACAATTGCTATTATCCTAAGATTTTTTGTTTCTAAAACTTGCTTAAAATAACAAATTTTGCAACTGAAGAGTTTGTACTAGATCATTGACTTAGGAAGTCTTGTGTCCTGAGGTTTAGTGGGGAAAATAGCAAAATATGTCTGTACCACAGTAAGGGTAAAGACGAAAATTGCATTGAGAAAAGCCAAGAAAGCCAAGGACGGCTAAAACATGGATTAAAAAGGAAAACAAAATTCAAACTTGAACCTCAATGTCCTTTTTTATTTTTTATTTTTTGTAAATTTGATCTTTCATTTTTCAAGAACGTGGATTTAAAAGGAAAAAAACAATTCGAATTTGAACGTTATTTAATGTTAATTTATTATATTTTGTATATTGATCCAAAATTTTTTGATATCATATCACATGTAAAAATATCTTAGTAAAATGATGTAAATTAAATTATGAAATTTTTCGGGGAAAAATAATAGAAATTAATGAGATAATTAAAAAATTTTAAAGAAAAAATGAGTTATGCGTCTCTTTTTTAGAAGCTCGTTAAATTATTTTCAATGTTTAATTGATTTTTGTTTGGACCATTTGATATGTCTACGATATAGTTCTCGAAACAAGCTTCAAGATGACATAGACAATTTATGAATTCGATTAGCGTACGATCACAAGCAAATTTTTAAAGTTAGCATGTTATTGAAATACTAGTTTGGAATGACTTATTTACACGTCGTAACTTTTGCTACGATTGGCCATTTCGCGCGACGTTAATAATGCGAGGAACTAGGTCGTGAGCATTTCGAAAAGGTATTAAGAATGCAATATTTTGATTTTGTTTGACATTCCATAATCCTGAAAATTGAGACAAAAAAAAAAAAACATTTACATTTAAAGCGTGGGTGATAAAGGCAAGGCTGGCCGGGTGTGGAGTGGGGAAAAAGGGGTTGGGTGGATAAAAAGTTTAAAGGGTGGGCAGGGTGTAGGGGCAAATTTTTGCATGAGAACAATCCATGTTTAGAAGCACCGAAGAACGTTCTTTTATTGATTTTAATACCACTGTTCAATAATTTAATTTAAACACTCAATTAAAAATTATTATTTTTTTTCTAAATTTCTGTATGATCTAATAAACTCCATCTAAAGTGGTGTTGATGTGAATATAGATTGAAAGAATTAATGATTTTAGCAAAGTAAATAGATATCAAATATTTTCTAAAACGTGCTTAAAATAATAAACTTTTGCAACTGAAGAACTTGTACGAGATCATTGATTTAGGAAGACTTGCGCGTAGGGGCGGACCCAGATGACTTGGGTTAAGAGGTTAAAAATAAAATTTAAAGGATGTCTTCTAATAAAAAAAAACTAAACAAATTAATTTTTTTCCCCAAATCTAGAGGGTCAATTGACCCTATAATCCCCCCCCCCCCCCCCCCAAATTCCGCCCCTGCTTGCGCGGAAAAACAGTAAAGTATGTTTGTACCATAGCGAGGGCAATGACGGAAATTGCACCTAGAAAAGCCAAAAAAGCCCAGGGACTTCTAAAATGGGCGTGTATCCATTCAGCCATCCAGACGTGCTTCAATCTTGTAATGATTTTCAATCTGCCTCTGAACATCTTCATATCCACAAAAATCAGGTACTAATTCATTAGATATCTTGTTAAAGTGTTTCGCCAATTCACAGTCACTGCCTAAAGCGTTGACAAGAAGTCCTCTTTTTCAGAGCTCTTTAACATCATCGGCACGATCAATGAATGAATCCATTAGGAAAATGTATGACATAATGCGACAATCAGAAGGGCCATGGGGACACATTTCATAAGCCGCCAAGTTTAATAACAAAGATTTTGTTGAATCGTCTACCACGAGTGGAGGAAGTGTAAGAGTACCATAAATAAGGTGAGATTTGAACTTTACATCAGTAACATGGTTAGTTTCACTTGGTCTGAAATGAATTCCTGTTGATTTGAGCTCCATTACTGAACGATACGAATAACATTTGCCAAATTTCTCCTTGTTTTTGTCTCCAGGAGATGATCGGACGAGCTGTTCCCGAAATTTGTTCTCGTTTTTTTCTTCAGGAGATGACCCGAGGAGTTGTTCCCAAGCCAGATCTAGAAGGTGAGGATGGCATGCATTCATATCTATTTTCCATTTCTCCTTTTTCTGAAGACAGCATCCCATCATTCGTTGCACAAGTTTCTTGACAGCATTAGTGCATCTACTTTCCTGAAGTGGCAGTATGGCGGCCTTCTGATTAAGGAAATTCAGAATCAACGTTGTCCCCTTGATTTCATTTGTGAACCTGAATTTCATCAAAACTTTTAGTACTAGTAAAGGAATTTGATTCTCTAGCAAGAACAAGTCCCTCCTCGCAAAAAAATGGAAGCGACTCCAAGGTTGTAGTGGATCTACTTCATCTTGTTCCATATCTGTCCTATTGGCACAATTATTTTTAGCTACGGAAATGGACATAAATTGAAGCACAAAGCAAGCATCAAGAAGCATCATTTTTGTAAACGATTCATCATTATACTCTTCAGTCGAACCTTTCTCATAGCATTTGAGGACACTTTCACCCACCTTTGCCACCTCTTCGTACAACTGTTTGATGGATACTTGATTACCACAGGCACGAACGAATTCCCGTGCGACTGGAATTTTTAGCTTCTCAAATGCGTCGAGCTTTTGCTTTCCATGATGATAAGGGCCTATCGAAACTACGAGAGGATCATAACATTCTTCGTTGCATGGTTTGTCACGCAGCAATGATGGAGTCCTTTGGATTCAGGGTTTGTCTGTTGTGTCGTCAACATAGTTCCCTACAGAAATCAACCACTCATCCTTGGAAATGCTGTTGCTTGATTCTTGTGATATTTTATCAATTTGAGTGGCACTTTGGTTATCTTCTATGGCTCCAGGTGAGCTAACAGGAATCCAGGTTGGCTGGACGTTCGCAAACATCTCGACGGCGGGAGAGCAACCATCCAGTATATGGTCGGATACAACTGTCACCATCCCTTAGACGTCAGCATGAATTTGCATCAGCACATATTATTAGCAGCTTGTTTGATAAACTATCAAATTTCTAACTAAACAAATTTCAATTTTAAAATATACATTTTATGAAATTCACAATTTTTATCTCTTCAATCATACTTTTTATAATAAGCCAGGCTTAGGCACATAGGCTCAAAAACGTGAGTTCTTTTGTAATGGTCTAACATGTGTGTTCAAATCCTTATACTATACGTACTATTCACTTTAGTAGATCATCTTTCCTTTTATCCCTCATTGATTTAATCTAACACGTGTGTCCAAATTGTTAAATCATAATGTAAAATGATGAACGTCAAAGCAATTAATGCTCGAACCTCATTTTCCCTAGTTAAGTGTTCAAATTAACATTTTTTTCAGTATCTTGTTAGACTTTCCTAGTTAGAAAAATACATTTTATTACTGATCTTATAGAGACCATGCGAGAGAAAATAAGCACATAAGATAAAATCATGGATAAACATTTAAAAACTCAACATTTCATTATTCAAGATCTCAACTCCATTTCTAAAGATTTTTATCGTACTTGATAAATGTTTTATTTTTTTTTTTTTGGGGACGAATTTCTTGCTTTTCTTCCTACAAGAAATCCAGGACAAAAAAATATCATTATTAACCATAGAAGGTTATTTTTCTTAATTTTCCATAATAAATATGAAATTTAGCAAATAAAAATCACTGTAATCCAAAGATCAACAAAAGAAATTTTGCAAAATAACAATAAAAAAAATTGAAATATAAGAATAAAAGACTAAGTCAACAAATTGTACCTAGAAGTAAAGCCAACCTCTTTCTCCTATTTGATCTAACCGCTGCTGAACTGAACACGTTAAGAGCAATGTGATTCATCTTGGGTAGGCAAAAGCAATATTTATGGGCGTGGAAGCTTACCTGAACCTGCCACTGATTGACTGCCTAAAAAATGCCCCAATTTAAGGGATTGTTTAGGAGCTCACGCCCAAGTACTTTTGAGTGATTGAATTTTTATTTCCCTTTTAATCGTCATTTCATTTAACGCATAGTAAATAGTAATCACTCGCTGTATAACAGAAAAATAAATACTGAATATAATAAATAATTATTTATTTCATCGTGAATGTATATGTAGTTTTTCCAATAATCTGAAAACATACGTATTTCCAAATTTCCAACAATTTTTCCAACCTCTCCCAAACAAATCCTAACACTTTTCAAATTGATCATTGTACATTACGTTAAGATTGCTGTACAATAATTGTTTCTGGGGGCAGTCGAGAAGGAACAAGCACAAGTGTTGGTTCTATAATGGAGGGACAAAGCAGGTATCATTTAAAATTGAATGATGCTATTTATAGTCACTCACTATCGATAGTCGCCTTACTGATAGTTTGTTATTTGATTCATCTAGGACAATTATCGATATAGAGTGATTATGAATAATATTATTCTTACTAATTGGGATGGATGAATGCACACTTATCAAAAAAGAGATGTGGAAAAACAACAAAGGGGGAGTGGTAGGGGGGCGAAAAAAATGTGGAATTGAAAAAAAATGTGATGTGGGTGAGGTGATAATATAAATTTAACCAAAAACAAAACTAAAAAAAAAAAAAAGAAAGAGAGGGAGAAGGGGGGGGGGGGGGGGGGGGAAACAAAAAAAAAAAAAAGAAGAAGAAGAAGAAGAAAAGATTTCTGGTTGAATTAATGGTGCCCAAACATAAATAATTATTTTCTTCAAGTTCTCTTTTATAGTAATCACTTGTTAGATAAATTGGAATTAATCTATCTGTACATTCTTGGTGTAAATCTTGGATGACAAGAGGTATAAAAATCGAGGTCGTTGATTGGTTTAAGTGTTGAAAAAATCAGTGGCAAAACTTAAAACAATCAATGACAAAATTGTGTGCCACACGATAAGATGTAAATGAGAATGTCAACGAAAATACAAGTGAAGCAAAACTGGATAAACTTTGATAAAATTTTATCAACTTAAATCATTAAATTGTCTATTATATTTAGACCAGTCATTAATTTCTTAGAGCAACTCAAAATTTTTTAATAGTTGTTTAAAGTTTTTGATGAATAACTTATAAAGATATTTTGTTAATTGAAATTAGGACTATGGTCGATATGTTACAGATTTTTAAGTAAAAAATATATGTTGTTAATTATCTATCCTATCACATTTTATCATTTTCCTTATTTCATGTTCATAGTGGACATGGGATATCTGTCCACAGGTGAGTCTAAAATACCTTTTACATCACCAGTGGGCAAGATATCTTCTATCTATTATGGGCATAAAATAAATCCTGTCACATTAACATTATAGTATCTAGTAAAGAATATTATTATCTACTTATTCTAGTATCATTACACTCAACGACCCACCAATTAACATTGTTTTGCAAATTTATCATTGTTAAGTAAACTGTGATTAACTTCTATATTAAATTGCGCATCCACCAAAATTATTGAAACTACAAATGCAGACAATTGTTGCTCCAATACATTTTTTACCTTTTGGTACATCACATTTTCTTATCAAATGAAAAGGTCAACATATTTCTTAAAACCTCAGCATATTACAAATTGACGTGTCCTTATTTATTAGGAAGAAGTGATTTGTTTAAGTGACAAAAGTAAAATGATAAGACTGTCAAAAAGACAGAAAGCAACAAATTTCAATCTAAATAGACGTGCTCTTAATCGATGGATAGGGAGCAATCAAAACCAAGTCATAATACTATTTCCCTTGTGATCAAATTAAAGTACTTTGGCTTGATTAGTACAAATCAAGTAGGGTGCTACTGGATTTTTTTAGCCTCATATCTTAAAGGCAGTATTTTTGCCAGTGACGCAAATAATCCCAAAAAATGGGCAAAAAAAGGACCATGCTATAGAGACGGGCCCTGTTTCAATGGCAAAACCCAAAAAAATAAAAAAGGACAATTGATTGAAAAAGTATGACACATTTTGTACAAATGTGTTTGTACACATCTCTTTATCCAAAAAAAAAAGGGTTAATTTCACAAACGGTCACTGAACTTACAGAAAAATTACAAAATGATCACTGAAATTTAAAACTTTCAGTAACGGTCACTTATGTATTGAGACGCTTTCAAAAACGGTAACTGAAATTTAAAAAATTTCTGAAACGATCACTAAAGTTGAAAAACACTTTTTTAGTTTTTTTGGTTACATTTGTGGCAATTTTTCGGCTACTTCCAACCACCGATACCATCAAATTTTGATACCGTTGGAAAGTCCACAACGTCCTCTTCAATTACCACTCAAAACCTCTTTGTAACACCAAGGAATTCAACCGAAAAATCACTGGAAAATTCGCCCCAAAAAATCTGAAATCTGCCCAGATTTTCAGATTTTTGGGCGACTTTTACTGTAGTTTTTCAGCGATTTTCGACCACCAAGACCATCGGATTTTGATACCATTGAAAAGCCCACAATGTCCTCTTCAATTACCATCTAAAATCTCCCCCAAACTCCAAATGATTGGGCCAAAATAAACCCGCAAAGTCGGCATCCCAGAAAGACAAAAATATGGGATGTCAACTTTGTGAGTTTATTTTGGTCGAATCCTTTGGAGTTTTGGGGAGATTTTGGATGTAATTAAAGAGGATATTGTGGGCTTTCCAACGGTATCAAAATTTGGCTATTTTGGCGGTCGGAAGTTGTCAAAAAATCGCCGCAAAAGTCCACCAAAAATCTGAAAATTTGGCCAGATTTTTGCCTTTTCGGGTAGCCAACTTTTTGGGTTTATTCCGGCCGAATCCTTTGGAGTTTGGGGATTTTTTTTGTTGTAATTGAAGAGGATATTGTAAGATTTTCAACGGTATCAAAATCCAGTGGTATCGGTGGTCGGAAGTGGTCGAAAAATTGCCGCAAAAGTAGCTCAAAAATTTTTAAACTTCAGTGACCATTTTTGAAAGTGTCCCAATATTTAAGTGACCGTTACTGAAAGTTTTAAACTTCAATGACCGTTTTGTAATTTTTCTGTAAGTTCAGTGACCGTTTGTGAAATTAATCCAAAAAAAAAGGAAACAAACAGAAGGGTTAAAAATAAAATAAAATAAAATAAAATGTTTAAATTCATCTACATCCAATTTTATACTTAAGAGTCTGTTTGATTGACATGAAAAATATCACCTAGAAAAGAAAATATTTTCCTTCTTTTGTGGAAAATAAAAATCACCTCCACCCAAAGAAAATGTTTTCCTTAAAAACAAGAAAAATTGGCATATTTTCAAAAGTTGGAAAATGTTTTCTATGAAAAAAATTAACAATCAAACACCTCAAGTAGGAATTTGGATGAAAAATTGATATTTTCCATGGAAAATAAATGTAATCAAACACACCCTTAATGACATCAAGACCACCCAATTTTATACTCAATCTCACCATGATCACTCAATTTGATTTTATTTAACCATAAATACCCAAATATCATATGACGTTTCATTATGACCTCCCAAATTTTTTTTTCACCATTTTCACTAATCTTATAAGGGTTAAAACAGTAAATTTGCATTATATATAAAAAAATTACTTAAAAAAATAAAAATAAAATAAAAACTTATTTAAAAAACGTTTTTAAAATAAAATAAAACCTTTTTTTTAAAGTTATATATAAATATAAAATGAATAAAAATTATTTTAACAAAATGTTCCTTAAAAATAAATTAAAATAGAAACTTATTTAAATAAAATTACTTTGAAAAATAAAATAAAATAAAAACTTATTTAAAAAAACATTTTTCTTTTTAAAAAAACATTTAGTTTTGTTTTTTTAAATTTATTTTATTAATAATTACAATTTTACCCCTTTTAGGTGGAGGAGAGGAACTCGGTTCTTAAAAAGCTACCGGATTTTATTTTTTAATTTATTTTATATATAAAAAGCTACTGAATTTTTTTAGCCTCATATCTTAAAAGCAGTATTTTGTCAGTGACTAATCTTTCAA